CTATTTTTTTCTTCCATTGAAGAGTCTCAGCATCCTTTTCGAAAATTGATTGACCATAAATATAAGAGTTTTATTTCTGGACTCTCACTTTTATTGCTTTGATCTTATATGTCTATCTTTATGCCAGTACCTCACTGCCTTGATTGTTATAACTTTGTAATAAATTTGAAATAGGGAAGTGTGAATTCTGCAACTTTTCTTTTTTGAGATTCTTTGGCTACTCTGGGACTCTTGCATTTCCATGTGAATTTTGTGAGCAACTTGTCAATTTCTAAAAAAAAGCCAACTGGAATTTGATGGGGATAATGTTGAATCTGTAGATCAATTTAGGGAGTATTGCCCTCTTAACAAAATATTAAGTCTAACAACCTGTGAACATGGGATAGCTTTCTATTTTTGTGGATCTTTAATTTCTTTCAACAGTGTTTTGTGTTTTTCAGTGTACAAAGCCTGCACTTCTTTTATTTAATTTGTTCTTAAGTATTTTATTCTTTTTGATGTTATTATAAATGGAATTTTCTTAATTTTATATTGTTCATTGCTACTATATACAATAGTAATTGATTTTTACATGAAGCTCATATCCTGCATACTTGCTGAACTCATTTATTAGTTTTAATAGGTTTTCAGTAGATTCCTTAGGATTTTCTAGGTATAAGATCATGTTGTCTGTGAATAGAGATATTTTTACTTCTTCCTTTCCAATCTTGATGTCTTTTATTTATTTTTCTTATGTTAATGTCCTGGCTAGAACCTCCAGTGTAATTTGAATTGAAGTGACGAGAAAGGACATCCTTGCCTTGTTTCTAACATTAGAAGGAAAACAGTCACACTTTCTCCATTAAGTATGATGTTGCACTGGATTTTAGTACATGCCATTTATTCAGTTGAGGAAATTTTCTTCACAGACAATTGAGTATTTTTTATCATGAATGGGTGTTGGAGTCTGTCAAATGCATTTTCTATATCATTTGAGACAATCATATGATTTCTGTTCTTTATTAATATGGTGTATTACATTGACTGATTTTTGTATGTTAAACCAACCTTTCATTCTTGGGATAAATCCTACTGGGTCATGGCATATATATTCTTTTGGTGTAATTCTTTTTATATGTTGCCAGATTCCACTTACACTATTTTATTGAGTATTTTTGCACCTGTATTCATATGGAATATTGCTCTGTAGTGTTCTTTATTTGTGATGTCTCTTTGTCTGGTTTTGGTATCAGGGTAATACTGGACTCCTGGAATGAATTTGGAAGTGTTCCCTTCTTTTCTATTTTTTGGAAGAGTTTGTGAAGGTCTGGTGTTAATTTATCTTTAAATGTTTGGTAGAATTTACCATTAAGACCATGTGGTTTCCTTTGTCCAGGCACTAACACATGCCACTTTCTCTTTCCTCTCTCCTTCTGGTTACATGTATGTTTGTGCACTTAATTGGGTCCCACATTTCTCTGAGTCTCTTTATTTTTCTTTATTCTTTTTTCTTTCTGTTCTTCAGATAGCAAATCTCTATTGCTCTATCTTCAAACTCACTGATTCTTTTGTCAACTCAGATATGCTGTTAAGATGACCTCTAGTGAATTTTTCATTTTAGTTATACTTTTCAACTCCAGAATTTCCATTTGGTTCTCTTTTATAATGTCTATCTCTGTTAATAGTCTTTATTTGAAGACAGCTTGTTGTCATTCCTTCCTTTTATTCTTTAGATGTGATCTCTTTTAGTTCTGTGAACATCTTTACAATGGCTGCTTTGAAGTCTTTGTCTGTTAAGTTCAACATCTGGGCCCCTTCAAAAGTAGTTCCCATTGCCTGCTTTTTTCCCTTGTATATTGGTCACACTTTCCTGTTTCTTTGTATGTCTCATACTAGTTTTGGTTGAAAACTAGACAATAGATAATATGTTGTAGCAACTCTGGCTATTGATCCCTCCTGCCCAGGATTTAATGTTGTTTGCTTGGTTGTTCATCTATTTGATCAGTGACTTGGCTGAACAGGCTTTGTGAAGTCTGTTTCCCTGCATTGTGAAGCCTCTGATTGCCTGCTCTTATTGTTTTTTTTCCTTGTTTTTATCACTTAGCCTAGCTACCCAGGGGTCACTCTTGGGTCAGCATAAGCCACTAGTTGGTCAGACAGTTGTATTAAAGCCCCTTAGCCAGTTGGACTTTTGCCCTTTACTGCTGGATATGTATGTGGCTTGGAGGCTGCCATCACAATTCAGGAGTTTAAGTTTTTGCCCACAGTTCAGCCAGGGACTAGGAGCTTGGCTTTTCCCTCTTCAGTCTCTCCTGAGAGGATATCCTTGGACATGTACATTGTCTTTTAAACTTCCAGGGATGTATATAATTTTATTTTTAATCCTGGCTTCTTAGGGGCTGCTGTTGGGTCAGAGTAGTTGATTGTTAAGCCAGGTTTTGGTCAGAAGTTGTGCTAAAGCCCCTAGTACCAGAGGGGATTGCGACCTTTGGTTGACCTGTGCATGGCCTGGGAATGTTTCTGAGTCTGCTCCACATCCTGCTCCTGAGTAGGTGCTTGCAGGGAGCCTCCCTGCCTCTAGGTTGGCTGTGCCCCCAGGAAGGCTCTTCTGGGCTCTGTTGACCTCCGATTGCTGTGCCAGTTGGCTTTCTGCTGCGGTGGAGCAGCCACGCTCCCATGCAACTGACTCTGTCCTTCTTACCGGGATTTTGTAGATGTTCTTGAATCAATCTTTCTCTGTTGATATGTGCCCCTTAGGTCATACATAAAATTAATGATTGTTTTATAAGTTTCTCTGTTAAGTGGTGTATGTCGAGGAGAGAGTTCTCCAAGCTCCTCCACCCCAGCATTCTGGAAATCAGCCTCCTAGATTAACGCGTTCCTTCCCACTTTTATCATATACTAAAGTCCCATTTGTTTCCAGATCTCTTTCTGGACACCCTATGTCTTTTTTTCTCAGTGTTTTAATTAGTTTAAATGTATTTTTAATTCTTTTAGAAATCTGATAGAAGGATGTGTTCTCCTTGGATAGATGAGGAGGCTGTGACTCAGAGGGTGTGGCTGACAGCACACAGCTGGTGTGGAGCCAGGTTGCTAATCCAGGTCTTCCCAGACTCTTTTTTTTTTTTTTTATTTCAGCATATTATGGGGGTACAGATGTTTAGGTTTCCCAGACTCTTGCACAGCTGCCTGCCAGCCGGCCAGTGCCCCACAGGTCCCTGACACAGGATGAGTGACTTTAGTCTAGTATGGAAGTGTGTGGCAGCCCCAGATAGTACTTGAAGAAGGTAGAATGAATTGGCCATGAATGGTGGTTTGAATACTGTTCACATCTCATTCTGCTGACCGAGGGGGTGGATCCTTGAACTGATCTGCGACTTCAGATATTTACTGTATTTCGTTTCTTCAGTTCATTATGATTGGCCGATCTGTGACTTCAGATATTTACTGTATTTCGTTTCTTCAGTTCATTATGATTGGCAGGCTGAAGAGTAGCATAGTTTGAAGGGGACTGATTAGGGGAGAAAACAATGGTTATGGGTGAGATCACTTTGTTTTGTTAACTACACATAAAATCTCATTCCTTTGTTGAATTTCAGGTCATTCAGAAAGTCTTCAAGATTTTATTCAGAGCAAGTAATAATGACAAGTATTTACAAAGAAAGTCGTTGCTACTTTTGTGTAGTTTTCAGCAGGTTCACTCACATCCGGACCAGCAGGAGCATTCTTTGTGATGCCTGGAAGTAAAAACAGGCTGTTGACTTGGCTTCCTGATCCTCCACTTAATATGTGCATGTGTGGTTCTCTGCCTGCCGTCCTAAATTTTGTACATCATTTTAATGCACTTTGTTAAAGGAAAACGCCTATCTGTAATTGTCATATGCTGTTTATACCTTAAAATGTCACTTGTTTAATGACATCAAAAATCTAAGTCAGTGACTGATTTTTCTTTCTTTTTTTTTCTTATTTTAGCTTGACAAACTACTGACTTCTAAGTGGCTGATTTTTTAAAAAGGTCCCATTCATTTGGAGTGCACTATCTTCCTTTTGCCCCTCCACATCTCACTGCACTTTTAACTTGGCGTCTCTGTGTTTGAAAGGAGTGCTGTTTAAGGGTACCAGACTGTGAATGTCAGTCCTCATCTGTATTATAGTGCAGCTGTGTATTTCTAGTGAAATTTCAAACTGCCTACAGAATTGTTTAATGTACTGTTAACCTTATAGAAAATATGTCTGCTTTTCAGAATACTATGTGGATTCAGCTATACCAGGGACAGATAGCTGAAATGTAATTACTTCCACCACCACCTATAGCATTATTGGCTCGTAATAGGGGCATTCAGTCCTCACTTTAAATATCAACATTATAAATCAGCCATACCATACTCTGAAGGGAATTTTAAATATTTTTTACTATCACTCTATTTAGAATTTAAATATGATGAATAACTTAACACAGAAACGTTCTTCTCTTTGTAAAGTTCCCTTTTGTCCATATTATCCTAGCACTGACATTAGATAGTGCAACTTTCATTTCACTCCCTGGGCCAGGGCAGGGTCACTGAAATGAGAAGGCAGTAGCCTTGATAAGCCCAAGTGTCTTCTCATCTCACAGTGCTCATGAGCGTTTTGTAAAAAATGACTTTGCCTTGTTCTTACCAAGAGACAGTCACAGATTCATTGCGCTTTGATGTGAAGATGCATAAAAGTACATTTAAACAATGTGAAAAATGAAATACTTTTATCAAGAACTTTTTTTTATCAAGGGTACACAGCAATTGTATGGAAAATAGCATTGCTACATTTGGGACATGTGTTTCCCCGCACCCACCCTTTCTGATGAGGCTGAACACACTGGCTGCAGCCCAGCTTCAATGTACTGTGCTCACTCTGAGTTGCACTTGTTGGGTTTCTGTTTTAGCAGCTGTGGATGGGGTATTTTCCCTTTTGTCAATCTGACTGTTGGAAACCAAGCAGGTGCCTTAAAGTTACAATGTTTGCATCTCTTCTTCCAGGGAGATGACAGTCTATCTGCAATCACCTTTGACTCTGACTTTGAGACGGTGAGTGCAATTGGGAGCCCGCAGTTTATCCCACCACTGGTTCTTTTGCCCTTAAAGAGCTCACTTAGATGTGTAAATAGGTCATTCTCCACATATCTTGTGTTTAGAGCTTGAATATAAATTCTGGTTCCTTACTTGTATTTAAATAAATGTAAATTTCAAACTCTTACGCAGAAATTAATCCTGAGTAGGGTTCATTTGAGGCAGATTACTAGTCCATACCCTGAGTCTGGGTTTGCCCTGCACCTGCCCACCCCCCATCCTGACACAGGAGGAGGAGGGGAGGGAGAGGGCTCAGGGTGATGCAGTCAGAAGTGCCTAGTGGGTGAGGGAAGTCCTTGGCAGCTGTGCCCTCGAGCTGAGCGACAGCTTGGCCTGACAGCCTGGTGGGGAGAGCGAAGGGAGAGCAGGGCAGAGGCAGCAGGTCTGGCGGTCCAGTGGCATACTGTGACCTGCAGCCTGGCCTCTCTGGGTTTTTTTGGCAAGCTGTGCTGGCTAGAAAGCTGCTCTTATAGTGAACAAGCAAAAGAAGCTTGTCTCAGCCAGGCACGGTGGCTCACGCCTGTAATCCTAGCACTCTGGGAGGCCAAGGCGGGCGGATTGTTTGAGCTCAGGAGTTCGAAACCAGCCTGAGTGAGAGCAAGACCCCATCTCCACTAAAAATAGAAAGAAATTAATCGGACAACTAAAAATATATAGAAAAAATTAGCCGGGCATGGTGGCGCATACCTGTAGTCCCAGCTACCCGGGAGGCTGAGACAGAAGGATCGCTTGAGCCCAGGAGTTTGAGGTTGCTGTGAGCTAGGCTGAAGCCTTGGCACTCTAGCCCGGGCAACACAGTGAGACTCTGTCTCAAAAAAAAAAGAAGCTTGTCTCACAGCAGACCCAAGTCTAGCAAAACCATAGCCCATGGGCTCGGAGAGAATCCAGCACCAGCAAATCTCGTTCCACATTAACGTTGTGGACTCAAGGGGGAGCCTTACCGGTCCACTCCCTCCCAAGAGGGACCTCTGTCTGCGAAATTAAGGATTTTCCCTCCACATCACTGAGGACATGGCCCCGAGATACTCCCCAAAGGAGTAATGATCCAAACCCAGACCCCAGGTAAAATTCGGCCTACAGGGAACAGAGTTCATAGTTTCTGCTAGAGGGGAAGTTGGCCATGATACCAGTAGCTTCTCGGCTAGTGTGAAGCAGATGAGGAAATTAATGTTTAGAGGACTTGTATCATTTTCCCCAGGCCACAGAACTACAGGTTGAGCATCCCCTAATTCAAAAATCCGAAATCCAAAATCAGAAACTTTCTGAACACCAACATGATACCACAGTGGAAAATTCCACACATAAAAGCTTAACACAAATTTTTTTTTTTTTTTTTTTTGAGACAGAGTGTCACTCTGTTGCCCGGGCTAGAGTGCCATGGCATCAGCCTAGCTGACAGCAACCTCAAATTCCTGGGCTCAAGCAATCCTACTGCCTCAGCCTCCAGAGTAGCTGGGACTACAGGCATGCGCCACTATGCCTGGCTAATTTTGTCTGTATATTTCTAGTTGTCCAGCTAATTTCTTTCTATTTTTTATTCAGTAGAGACAGGGTCTCGCTCTTGCTCAGGCTGGTATCGAACTCCTGAGCTCAAGCGATCCGCCCACCTCGGCCTCCCAGAGTGCTAGGATTACAGGCGTGAGCCACCGTGCCCGGCCTTAACACAAATTTTGTTTCATGCACAAAATTATTTAAAATACTATATAAAATTATCTTTAGGCTACGTGTATAAGGTGTATATGAAACATAAATGAATTTCATGTTTAGACATGGGCCCCATCCCTAAGATATCTCATTATGTATATGCAAATATTTCAAAATCCAAAATACTTGTGGTATTTTGGATAAGGGATATTCAACCTATACTTAGTAGAACTAAATTTGTACCCAGTTCTACATTTGGCATCATGGTTGTCATGGGAGACTATCTTCCAGACTGGGTCTTCCTTTGCTGGACTTTTCTTCTTAACGGGATTGCAGTTGACTTATTTACAAGGGTTTCATCTTACCAAATCCTCAGGAGTGTACAAAGGCATGCACCAGTGCTCCAGAGCTGGCTGTGAGGACAGTTTGGATGGGAAACCATATGCCAGGGCGTGGGATCTTCAATCTGAATGTTAACCCCAGACCCGTTGGTTTTCTGTGATTAAACTCATGCCCTGCGAGCTCGATGGGCCCTGGCTCAGCCTCCAGCACAAGGCTGAGTGCCGTTCCTGGGGCACATCTTGGGCTCCATGCATCTTCCTTTGCTCTGACTCTGCTGTGTCTCAGCTGAGTCAATTTCCCATCTCGTGGCTCTTACACTCCCTCTGACCCATCCTGATCCCAGCAGTGTCTCATGATGGGGACCACTTTCGTAGCTCAAGAAAGCTCAACATGCTTTACATCGTTTCTTCTTTCTTTCAGAAAACAAAAAGGAAAAGTTTCCACAAACCTCCACCCACATCACCAAGTAAGTATGACCAGGCCTCCTTTCCCCTTGAGTTTCCACATTTTAACTCTGAGAGGGTTTTTAAAAGCTGTCCTTCCTGGTGTCCTGGGAGAAAGAGGAAGCATGTTTTTTCTTTGTACAGTTGGGGCAGTTGAGACTCGATACTCCAGCCAGTTGGCCCCATTTGTGTGGTGACCTCGGGAGCACATGCTGCCAGAGTCCCTGCCCGTCCCGAGCCACGAGCCAGTTCTTGGCCTCACAGACCAGAACAGACCAGTGCGTTTCGGTGTTTTTCTCTTCTCTTGCTTTCTCAAATTGCTTAACTCTTCGGGTTGCTGCTGAGGTCAGATGTTTTTCATCTAGGATTTGTTCCCTGAGAGTCAAAGCTGCTCTACTGGGCCTTGTACTGAGACGGTGTAGACGTGCCAAGACAGATGGAAAGTTCCATTTTTTTTTTTCTTTTGGGATTTCCCTGACCTCATTTTGCTGCTAGGATTCTCTCCTTCCTTGTCCTCAGCAGGAGGAGGGCAGCTCTATCCCTTTCCTCGGCAGTGGCCAGGGAGGCAGCTGCCCATCCGGAAGGACGTTGCCAAGATGGGGTCAGTCCAGGTGGCCACAAGGCTTCCAGTTTCATCTGTGTTGCTCAGACACTGCTCTAGTGCATGGTGATGCGTGCGCCAATCTGACACTTGTGGGTGACAGACTGTAAATCCTATACAAGCTTCTTTTTACCACACAGAACCTGTGGCCTTCCCTGGCTTCATCACCTGTATATGCGTGTCTATATTTTATATACGTTTATCATATTTCAAATATATTGAGTCACGTGTGACAGACTTAGAATACATGTGAACTTTCATACAGGCCCAAGGAAAACGTAATTAGAGAGGTAAATTCCTGCAAAGAAAAGAATGCCTGTTATATGTTACAAATAAATATAAACATCAGAAAGAAATTATCCAGCAATTTGGATTTTTGTTGTCCATCCTCTTCTTTCAAGGGGATAATTGAGAATCAATATAAAGTAACAGCACTGTGTTTTTGTTTTAAAACTTTTCATTTTAGAAGCATTTGTGTAAGTCTTTTTTAGCTTGAAGATAACCAAGGTAAATACCCATCTTCCTTTATTCTTACTGAAAATTAAGTGTTTCAAGTTTTGTAAATAGTAATAATCAAATTATTTTCATATTGATCTCTTGAGTGTCGGAATTGTTTTTCCCAGCACTGAGACTGGCAGAGCCCTGGAACAGGGCAGGCGCCTGCTCTCCCTGCAGCCAGCCCTGCACTTACTTGGCTCCTGTTCCGGGCTCCCTGGGGCCCCCGCGCTGGGCTCCCGCTTAGCCCTTGCCTGCAGGGCGCCACGTCTCAGCTCAGCCCTCCCTGCCACCTCAGGCCCCCTCACTTGCCCCTCACGTTCTCGTTCTCAGAACTCATGCACAGGAAAAGTTTCTCTGTCTGGATTTCAAGTGCCCTGAGAGTAGGGACCACAACAAATGGTTTTCTCGAATGCCTCATCAATTCACATACGTGCTTATAGTTTACAAAGCCTTCCAAGACTTTCCAGGCTTTCCACCCCGCCAGCCACTCTGAGGAGGGCAAGGCAACGCTTCTCTTCTTTCAGAGTTTGATATTTTTCAGGCAATATCAGACACCAGCATATTCCCACCATCCTGTTTTCATTTTTTCTTCTTCCTTCCCAGCTTTTATCCATGTACACATATGTTTTCCTGAGGAATCCTGACTACTCATTGATAAATCTACATACATTTAGGAGGGAAATGTAATTTTGGTGGCTTTTTTTATGATTATTAATTTGCTTTTATAAATGACTACTTAAACATTTAAAGTTTGGAAGGCCTTCAGGATATCTCAGTGATGGGGTGCTATGGTCCTGGGGTGAGTGAAAATGCATCGGGTTCTAATGTGTCTCTAACCCTCATTCAAATTATAATGGGAAATTTTCCATAAATTGTGAAAGCATGGAAAAAACTTAGATATTTAAAAATTTTAGACATATTAGACTTAAATTTTCAGGACCTTCTATAGATAAAAATTTCCTTGCAATTTAAGATATATAAGAATGTTTTGGCTGGGCATGGTGGCACATGGCACCTATAGTCCCAGTGAGCCTGGGCAACCGAGCAAGACCCTATCTCTTAAAAAAGAATGTTTTATGAGTACCTTAGTTTTTGCTTAAATTTGTCATATTTTATATAATTAAAGAGGTGAAATCCCAGATAAATCATTTTAAAAGCATTTCTCTCTTTTTTTTTTTGAGACAGAGTCTTGCTCTGTCACCCAGGCTGGAGTGCAGTGGCATCATCACAGCTCACTGCAGCCTCAAACTGCTGGGCTCAAATTATCCTCCTACCTCAGCCTCCCAGGTAGATGGGACTACAGGCGCACACCACCACACCCGGCTACTTTTTCTATTTTTAGTAGAGATGGGGTCTTGCTCTTGCTCAGGCTGGTCTCGAATTCCTAAGTTCAAGCGATCCTCCTGCCTCAGCCTCCGAAAGTGCTAAAATTACATGCGTGAGCCACTGCACCCAGCCACATTTCAATGACAAAATCCAGAATGCCCTGGAAAGGTATAATTTTTCTCATTTCTTTTAGATACTTTATATATTGAGCTCTAAATAGTGCTGTCACTAAGCAGCAAGGTAAAAAAGTATTTACAGTGTTAAATATAAAGGATTCACAATTATATTTTCACTGCGATTGTGAAAAATATATGTGTACCTGAAAAGAGTTGGATGACAAATTAAATACTGGTAGAATTATAATATTGATAGAATTATTCACATTTTTATTTTAAATTTCCCATTATATTACTTCTTTATAATAAAAGGTAAAAAAGAAATGTATGTAAAATAACTGAATTTTTCATTTTTGCCAGAATGTGTTTATCTGGAGCCATCACAGCCTTGTAAATATTTTGTTTTACCTTTTTTGTCTTTCTAAAGCATGTGTGTTGAGGGGCATTGATGTCTTGTAACTCTGAAACCATGCATTGGCTTTTTAGAATCACCCTATCACTCTAAGCCAAGAAAAGTGTCATCCTGGAGGTCCCTCAGGACCACAGCAAGCATGCCTCTGGGTGGTCGAATGTCCTTAACCCCACAGAAGCTGTGGCTGGGAACTCCGAAACAAGGTATGTGGCTGCCCCAACGGAGGCCCTTCCTGCTTGAGAGAAGAGTTTTAGAAATTGCGGAGGGGGAGGTGATTTGAGATAGCTTTTTAATATTGTTTGAATTACATTGTCTTTAATCTTCTCAAAGACACTGCCTGAGCCAGGCATGGTGGTGCACACCTGTATGCTCAGCTTCTCCAGAGGCTGAGGTGGGAAAAGCACTTGAGCCCAGGAGTTTGAGGCTGCAGTGAGCTACAATTATGCCACTACACTCCAACCTGGGTGACAAAGCGAGACCCTATCTTTTAAAAAAAAAAAAAAAAAGACATTGAGTATGTGCACTGTACTTTTATGTCATGTGTAAATGTGGTTTCAAACAAAGGTTGGGAAACCTGCCGCCTTCTAGGTCCTTAAGTGTGGCTTTTTGACTGAATCCAAATTTTACAGAATAGATCCCTTTATTTAAAGGGGTGCAGCAGAGAAAGATGGAGCTGCTATTGCCTCCTTTGATGCTTAAACAAGAATAATCTTGAAATCAGAAGGTCTCAGGTTCCCTACCTGGTAGCTTGAAATTGGACGTGGTGGGAATATTTATACCATGGCAATGGGCGAAGACTACAGATCAGAGCTTTATTGATTTATTTTTGAGAGCCGGTTGCTAAATATCTATCAGCACACCACTGACTGCTGGTATCTACTGGTGACTTAAGCTTTCTTCAACCCAGGAAGGTTGATTAGAAACAAAAACCTTCCATTGTGTTTGCTTGTACCTGTTGTATTAAATCCATGCACATTCAAATAGGAAGTCTGACCCAACCCCTGAAATCAAACCTCACCTTGGAGCATGCATGGACCAACCCTCCCAGCAGCACTCCTGACTATCTGACAGAAGCTTTAAGAATGAAGAGGTCAAACCTCAGGCGTTCTGCCAGCAATGGTGAGCATGTTGATGGTGACAAGGTCATGACTAAGGAAAAACAGAAAGGAAAATCTTTTAGGTTTGAGGTATGCTTTGTCAGAGTGGGATTTTTTGGCTTCATGTACAAGCTCCATCAGCAGGACATTTTGGAATGTCCTGAGGGCAGTGACTTGTGAAAGTCCATTCTGCCCTCCTAGAAAGTAGCTTTCATGGGGTGGATAGTGACATCTTGCCAGGCTGTAATTGTGCCTGCCTCCCTAAACTTACAGTCTTATTTAAATTTATTGCATAAATAATATTAGAAACAAATAAAAATTGCAAATAATAATAAAAAGCCCAATCTCTCCAAAAACAATCAGTGTGTTTTTATGTTTCTGTATCCTCTCTAGTTTTCTCCGTGTGTTTCCCACCTGCCCTCTCCTTGGGGACCTCCATAAGGAAGAACAACTTCCAGGATGCATTGAAAATCACCTCACTGTACCCCAGGAGTGGATTACCTTACTGTTTTTACTGGCTAGGAATTACACTTTAGGCTTAAATATTTTAGATTTTTAAGATTTAGATATTAGTTATCATAAAAACCAAAGTAAAACTCTACTTTTTTACTTTGGAATAGATATTGAGATGCTATGTGCATTTTTTGCCTGGTTTTTGTTTTGTTTGCTATTTAGAATCTAAACATATCAGTTCTACTTGTGTGACTCCCTTCTTTAATCCTTTTACTTTAATTAAACTTGTTCACATCTTTATTTTCTTTTGCTTCCTCTTTGTATATTATTACCATTTTTTGGTTTCCTTGCTTTCTGTGAAAGTATCATGATCAGGTTAAAAGCACTGATATAAGCTACTAGGGAGGCTGAGACAGGAAGATGGCTTGAGGCCAGGAATTCGAGACCAGCCTGGGAAAGATAGTGACACTCTGTGTCTTAAAAAATGAAAAAGAAAAAAAAGAAAAAGAAGATGAGCCAGGCATGGTGGCTCACATGTGTATTCCCAGCTCTCCAGAAGGCTGAGGCAGGAGGATGTCTTGAGCCCAGGAGTCTGAGGCTGCAGTGAGCTATGATCGTACCACTGCATTCCAGCCTGAGCGACAAAGCTAGACCCTGTCTCTTAAAAAAAAAAAATTGAAATAGTTTTCCTCTGCTTTTTTATTTTTCTCTTTTTTTAAAAGGATAATTATATTATTAATAACTTCCAGGTTATCCTTAAGGTAGAGCCAAGAATTCCTTCTACTTTTCAGATAATCTTTCAAGAGATCTGTGTATCTTCCTATAGGTCACGTCCCTGGGATTCCTGTCTACAAAGAGAAAGAAGATATGTATGACGAGATTATTGAGCTAAAGAAGGTAGTATTTCTATCTGTTCTTTATTGATTTTAACTGGCAAAAGCCTTCTATAACGATGTATTAAACAATCAGTGTCTGGGATTTTCCACGTGGAAAGAACCTGGCTTTAGTGTCACACCTGAGTTTGAACCATGGCATGATGGCTTAGGAGCTGGGGGACTATGGTTAAATAATGACCTGTAGCACCAGCTGCATGAAAGACAATAAGGTTTACATTCTACCTGTGCTCTACTTCTCTGGCAGGAAGGAGAAGACTGGGTAAGGACTAGATTAACTTCAGAGTCCCTTTGCATCGTGAGGGTTGGCATTATGATAAAGTCATTTGATGTTATTATCACAGTAACCTTCCATTCATGTAATTCTTTAGTGTTATCAAGACATCTCACATGCTCAACAGTTAGTCTCTACAGAAGCTCTATGAGATAGGCAGGGCCATTTGTTACAACATCATCTGGTATGAACTTGAGACTCAGAGAAGTTAGTTGTCTGTCCAAGGTGAACCAGTAGCAGAAACAAAATTCAAGGTCATCTGCCTCTGAAGGCCAAGATTCTTTATTGCCCCCTACCCTCTCCCATTCACTAAAGTGTGAATTGCACTGAAAGATACCGTCATCATCCTCCTCCTGCTGTTTCCAGTCATTGCAGTATAAATTGCATTGAAATACATCATCATCACCGCTACCACCACTATCATCACACTGGTTTTAATATGTTTTTGTGCCCTGGAGAAATTTTCTGGCTTTATTTCCTTCCATAATTTGAGTCTGTTTATAGACCTGCTGTCCCCACTGTTGAGCTGCATCTGAAGGACTGTGTTCAGTCTGGACCCCATGGGGGGTTAAGCAGGGCATTGGCAGTCAGTGTGCCCAGAGCATGACGAGGGAAGCCACCTCACCTGAGGAGCCTGGGGAAACACTAGGAGGACCTGGTATGGGCCATTGTGAAATTCTATTGGTCCGGAGCAAACACTCAGGTTTTAGGTTGTATGAGAAGAACACGCAAACCACGAGGCTGTCTAACGGGACAGTGCTGCCCAAGCAATAAGTACTCCCTGTCTTTAGAGATTTCAGCAACTACCTATCAGGGATGTTGTAGGGCGAATTCTCATTTTGGTTAGAAGATTGTACTAACTGACCTTTGAGAGTCCCCGAAACTCCGAATAATCACCACAGTAGTACTCTTGGAAGGAATCTTCTTGGGGCTAGAAATGGGTCTCTGGGTAAAATGATACTGACTTATATTTAAATTTACCATCATGGATTTCTGGGTAAAATCAGCCTAGACTTCTAAATTCAGAAATGAGAGACTTTTGATTTTAGTACTCTGTTGCTCTGGGATTTTGAGCATCAGAGTGGTTTTTCTGTGGCAAGCAATGCCTCAGTTTCCTATTAAAAAATGGGGATGATAATAATACTAATTTCATAAGGTTATTGTGAGGATTCAATAAAATAATCCATGAATGTGCTTCATTCAATAAAATACCCAATATACTGTAGGAGATCAGTAAGTATAGGCCATTTTTCAAAAACTTATTTGAAATAATTATAGATTCCCAGGAAGCTGCAAAGACAGTATGGAGAGGTCCCTTAGACCCTCCACCCAGTTTTCCCCAGTGGTTACATCTTACTAACTGTAGTGTTCTATCAAAACCAGAAAATCGCCGTTGGTACGATGTGGGTGTGGTTCTGTGTCACCACGTTTAGACTCACATCAGCACCGCCACGTCAAGGTGCCACAGAGATGTCCCTGGTGCTGCCCCTTTCTAGCTACATGTACCCCTTCTCTTGTCACCATTCCAACCCCTAGCTACCATAAATCCGTTCTCTGTCTCTATAACTTTGGCATTTTGATAATGTTATGTCAGTGGAGTCATACAGTGTGTGACCTTTGGAGGCTGACTTTTTTCCCACAACATAGCCCTTGACTTAAAGGAAAGAAAAGAATGTGTATTCTGTTATTGTTGGGTGTAATGTTCCCTAAATATCAGTTAGATACTGTTGGTCAATGGTGTTGTTGAGCTCTTCTGTATCCTTGCTGATTTTCTGTCTAGCTGTTTTATCAGTTATTGAGAGAAGGGTCGGGTTCTTTGTTTTGTTTTTTTTTTGAGACAGGATCTCACTCTGTCTCCCAGGCTAGAGTGCAACGGCGTCATCACAGCTCACGGCAACCTCAAACTCCTGGACTTAAGTGATCCTCCTGCCTCAGCCTCCCGAGTAGCTGGGACTACAGGCATGCGCCACCATGCCCGGCTAAGTTTTTCTATATATTTTTAGTTGTCCAGCTAATTTTTTCTATTTTTGGTAGAAACGGGGTCTCGCTCTTGCTCAGGCTGGTCTCGAACTTCTGAGCTCAAGTGATCCTCCCACCTTGGCCTCCCAGAGTGCTAGGATTACAGGTGTGAGCCACTGCACCAGCCACCAATCTCTTTTAATTGGTTTGTTTAGATCATTTACATATACTGTAATTATTTATGAATTAAAGTCCCCCATTTTATTTTTTGTTTTCTATTCTGTCTGTATACATTTCTCTGCATTCATTTTTTGTCTCCCTGTTGCTTACTTGAACATTTTTTAGAGTTCCATTTTGATTTCTCTGTAGTGTTTTTGAGTGCACCTCCTTTTTATAACCTATATAGTGGTTGCTGTAGGTATTCCATTTTATATACGTATGTATATATACACACACACAGACATACACTCATCACAGTTACCGATATTGACATCTTACAGTTTGAGTGAATAGAAACTTCACCTCGCTTTATGGCCTTCACCCTCCTCAACTCACACATAATTCTCTTAAATTTTTCCTCTATATATACTGAGAACCACATCAGACAGTTGTATAATTTTTTTGCTTCAACTGTCAAATATAATTTAGAATACTCAGCCTGGCGCAGTGGCTTACACCTGTAATCCCAGCAGTTTGAGAGGCCAAGTCAGGAGGATCACTTGAGGCCAGGAGTTTAAGACCAGCCTGGCCAACATAGCAAGACCCTGTCTCTCTAAAAAATGAAAAAAAATTAGCTGAGAAAGTGGCACACATCTGTAGTCCCAGTTACTCGGGAGGCTGATGCAGGAGGATCACTTGAGCCCAGGAGTTGGAGGTTACATTGAACTATGATCATGTCACTGCACTCTAGCCTGGGTGACGAGAGAGACCCTATTTCTAAAAAAAACAGTTATTTTAGAAAATTAATAATATAGAAAACTCAGGAGGAGAAGGAAAGTGTGTTGTATTTAACCCATATTTTTTCCATTGTTCTGTCTTCCTTCCTTATGTTCCAAGATTCCTTTTATCATTTCCTTTCTGTTTAGAGAACTCCCCTTAGCCAGTCTTTTAGATAGAGTAGGTCTGCTGGTGACAAATTCTCTTAGTTTTTCTTCATCTGGGAAGAAAAGAAGACATTTCCTCCTTCACCACTGATTGACAGTTCTTTTCTTTCATCACTTGAAAAATGTTTTTTTACTTCCTCCTGGCCTCCATGGTTTCTGGTGAGAGATTTGGCATCATTCAAATTGTTTTTCCCATTTAGATAAGTTAAGGTGTTGTTTCTCTCTCACTGCTTTCAGTGTTTTTTATTTCTCTTTATTTTGGAAGTTTGACTATGATGTGTCTTAATGTGGATTTTTGGGGGGATTATCCTGTTTGGGATTTTCTGAGCTTCTTGAATCTGTAGGTTTGTCTTTTGTCAAATTTGGGAAATTTTCAGTCATTATTTCTTAAAATCTTTCTCAGCCTCTTTTGTTGTAGCGGCCCAGGTCCCCGAGGCTCTGTCCGGTTTCCTGTTTATTTTCTCGCATTCCGATTGGGTAATTTCCGCTGCTCTGTCTTCAGGTTTGTGATTCTTTCCTTTGTCCTTTTACACTCTGCTGTTGAGCCTGTCGCTGAGTATTTTATTTTAGTTATTTTTCAGTTCTGTAATTTCCATTTGGTTCTTTATATCTACTATTTTGTTGCTGAGACTTTCTAGTTTTCCGTTTGTTTTAAGTGTGTCCATAACTGGTCACCGAAGCATTTTTCTGGTGGCTGCTTTCAATCTTTGTAGATTGTTCTAACATCTGCCATTTCAGTGTTGGCATCTGTTGATTGTTTTGTTTTCATTCAGGTTGAGATAGTCTTGGTGCTTGACAAGTGATTGCAGTTGAAACCTGGGCATTTTGAGAATTATGTTTTGAGACTCCAGATACCAGTTAATATCTCGTGTTTTAGCAGGCCTCCTCTGACACTGCTCTGGTGGGTGACGTGGAGGTACCACCTGCTTCCTACCAGGTGGGGTGGAGGTCCAGCTCCCACTCAGCCTTCACTGATACCCACATGGGGAGGGCTTCTCGTTACTGCAGGGAGGGGTGGGAGTTCGGGCTCCCACTAACCCTTTGCTGGTACCACCCAGGCTGGGAGAGAAGGACCCCTCGTAGCTCCCCATGCAGCCTTCCATGATGGAAGTCCCAACTCCGCACTAGGCCTCCCCTGAGCCATCACAGCGCAGATGAGGAGGGCACCTGGATGCGGCCTGGGAAGGGAGGGCATCTAGGCTCCCCACCCAGCCGTGCATGGCAGGGTGACCACAGTGATTTCTGGGGTTTTGCCCAGGATAGAGCAGTTACTGGCTGCAAGTTTTCTGCCCCTTTCCCGGTCCTTCTGCTAGAGAGAAGAGCTGATTCTTGGGGCTTTCATGGCCTGTGTGCCTTGGCTTTCCAGGTTGTTGCTTCTCCAGCACCCAGTCCAGATGAGGCAAAAAGGAAACTGAAGGCGCTCCCTGCTTCGCTCCCGGCCCCACTCCCCAGCCTGTCTCCTTCTTGCTGCCTGTCAGAGTCCCCCGTGTCTGCGTTACACACGTGCCCCGGGTTTTCAGCTCTGCTAACAGCAGGAATAGGGAAAGGCGAATCTGCCTCATACTTCTGGGAGTAGAATTCCCGTTATTAGATTTCCTGTCTTCCTTAGTGGCTGCACATTAACCAATTCATTCAGTGAAGACTCATTGAGCTCCAGTTGTCCGTCGCGCTGCTCGAACCCGTGGGTCTGTCTGTAGCGATCCTGGCCACAGTCCTGTCCACTGTGGCCACGGACTGGTGTGCCAAGCCGCCACTCGTGACCCTGCACTTGGATTGTTTCTGGTGGTGGCGACTGGTTTTGCTCAGGCACATAGTCTCTCTTCAGAGGCCACAAATCCCTTTAAAGGAGAAGGCTGTTCACAAGAGAACCGGCCAGTTCCGATGTGGGTGATGCTGGAAGCCAGCGAGCTGCGGCACAGCCTGACCTAGGCTTTTAACCTCTTGCTTTTCAGGTTTTTGGGTTTCACAGACTAGTAAAAAGTTTTTTCAAGTGAAGACATTAAAACCAAAAATTAAAAACACCCACCATCACCATTTTATAAAAGAACCATATAAGTCTGAAATAGAAAGGATATAATTTCAAAATAGTTACAGAACTTGAATAAACTTAATTTTGTGAAAAATTGACTACACAGTCTTTTTTACCCCTATAACTCACCACAGATTGGTGACAAATTCATCCACAGATGAAGATTGGGAACACTGGTCTCCAGTGGAGCCTTAGTGGAGGATCAGCATTTGAAATAAATATTAGCCTTTGATGAGCTGTAGTGATGTGTGGTGTGACAAAAACAGGCTTTCTTGTGTGGTCATGGAGGAGAACATGTGACACTGGCAATTTCCAGAGCCAGTGTTCACAGCGTTGATTGGTTGGTACATTCTCTAGAGCCGTGTTTCTCAGTGAGGGTGCTGTTGGCATTTTGGGTGGGAGAATTCTTAGTTGCTTGGGATTTTCCTGCACATCCAGGGAATTTTGCCTCCTTGGTCCCCACCCACTAAATGCCAGGAGGGTCCTTCCCCCTCCCTGTGATGTCCAGGTGGCCCTGCCCTTTCCCCACTGCCACACACAGTGCCTTGCGTGGGAACCAGGCAGCTTTTAAAATTCTTCTCCAACCGAGTGTTTCCCCTGGTGTTTGTGTGTACATTGTGTGTGTACGGGTGTGTGCGTGCGTGGTCCTTCTTTTCTCTAGTCATTACACATGCAGAAAAACAATGTGGATCTGATGAGGACAAAGCTTCGGCGCTTAGAAGAGGAAAATAGCAGGAAGGATCGGCAGATAGAGCAGCTCTTGGATCCCAGTCGAGTAAGTCCCAGGCCCTTCGTGGTGGGCTCCTGCCTGCAGGCATCCGACTGGCGGGCGAAGCCAAACCGAACGCCGTCTTCACGTCTCAATCTGCTTACCGCAGGGCTCGGATTTTGTTCGCACTCTGGCAGAAAAAAGGCCTGATACTGGTTGGGTGAGTATAGTCTCCAGCAGGAAGAGAGCCTTCCACAGAGGCCGAGTTACTAGGAACAGCCACAGGCACAAGAGGAGTAGCAGGAGGAGGGAGGGGCGCAGGACTCCCCGAAACTGTTCTCCATGGTGCTGTGGGGATTACCGGAAGACACTTCAGGAGTTGTCGGGAGGAGCAGGGGGCCAGCAGGCTTACCCCAGAGGCCAAACCAAACGCTGTAGAAAAAATGGGCAACTCCCCCACTGTACCTAAAAAAAAAAATACATTATTATGCTTAACAAGTGATACTAATTTAAAACAGGGAGGCACCTGTCCTGTGTTCCTTGGTGGGTGCCCTCCAGGAACCAGGGGGCGGCTCTCACTTTAGTCGGCAGCACTAACTGTCCCCACCAAGAGTTAGCAGCAAGATCACTGCAAGTCCCACCCATGACCTGCTGACAGTGTTGACCCAGCTGGGGCCTTCTCCTTTCTGTGGCCCCCACCACCAGCCCTTCCCCAGCACTTCTCACACTTCGTCCCAAGCTGCCTCCTCCTCCAGCAGGGCTCAGAAGCTCCCTGCCTTGTCTCCTGGGCCACAGCAACTCTTCTCAGTGTGTCTTTTGCTAAATATGTTCTTTCTATATAAATAAAAGATGATTTGGGGGAAAAAAAATAGGGAAGCAAAACCCAATAGAATGAAGCCTTTAAAGTAGATACAGATGCCCCGCCCCTCATATACTATGTAATAATATGTAACAAATTGAACGAACTAAATGATGGAAAATGGAGCCATCTGGTTAGCATGTGGCAATAAACCACAACTGTTGGAGGAAAAGGCATCTCAGTGGGCTTCAGCTGAGTCAAGGAAGTACATCTGGGAAATGCTAGAAGAAAACAAAGGGATAGAATTTTGAGATTATTGAATACAAAGAATAAGATAACATTAATGATGTGATTAATGGATTTGATAACATGAAATTTATATAATAAAAACCCATAAGACTAAGATGGAATCACTGTATTGGGCTGGGAGAAGGATTATTGAAAAGACAACAGAGTTTTCTGTTCAGAATATACAAGAATGCTATATAAATCTCTAAAAAACAGTCTGCTGTAAAATAGAATATATAGACTATATAAACAGTATATATTTAATATACATGATTAAAGCCTAGTTCTGTATCTAGAACAGCACAAAGTAAATTCTTAAATGCTTGTGAAGGAATCCATGTGTTTCCACAAGAAAATATTTTTTGGATAATAGCAAATCCTGAACACTGCAGAGTTGTTCAATTTCCACATGTACATTGTCTCTTTTGGTTTTTTGTAATAGGGTCTTCAATCCCTATTTTTAAAATCAGGAACCTGAGGTTAAGAGATTGGGTTGCTAGTTAATGACCAAGGTCTGTGAAGGAGGGGGTGGGGTCTGTCTCAGTCCCTAGCATTTTACTGGCAGTAAATATTTGAGTGAATAAATTAATTTTATTTTATTACTATTATTATTTTTGAGACAGGGTCTCGCTCTGTCACTCAGGCTGGAGTGCAGTGACATGATCATAGCTCACTGCAACCTCAAACTCCTGGGCTCAAGTTATTAAAGAATTTATTTTGTAGAGATGGGATCTTGCTATGTTGCCACAGCTGGCCAGGAAATTATTTTAAATTACTATGAGTAAAATCTCACACCTTAAAGTAGCAAAATTAACACAATCAAAACCAATATTGGCAGGGCTGAGAAAATGTATGCTCAGAATTTAGACATTGCATATTAAGTTATTAACAGTATGACTGGGCAAGGCAATGATATTTAAAATTGCTCCTACTGTTATCTAATACTGCTCTTTTTAGGACAGTGTCTCAAGAAAATAATCCAATACAGAAAGCTGTTTGCACAGGATATTTATAGCTGCCCATAAATTGAGAAAACTGAGGAGAGATCATTCAAAGTGGAATATAGCTATCTCAAAACATTTTTGTAAAAGAATTTTTTAAAACAATATACAACAGTACAGCTATTTACAGAAATGTCTACTTGATTAATTTGGGTGAGGTAGAATTCTGTAAATAATGGGTACTTTTATAGAGAAAGGGCTCTGTACTTTTGTTCTGATGCTGTGTGTGTGTTTTATAGAAGTTTATTAAAAGTAGGAATTCTAGATGATAGGGTATGTGCAGTATTCATTTTAGTACCCACAGCAAATTGTCCTTCCCGGTGGCTGTGCCCTGTGATCAAACGTTTCTACTAGTTATTATCTGCTCTCAAGAAACATTTGCATCCTATGCTTTGGGCCGTTAGTTAAAAAAAAAAAGAGAGAGAAAGAAAGAAAAACATGTGCATACGTGCACAGGAAGGCCTAGCCAGGGATTTCTATTGAAGGATTGATTATAACAACAAAAGTGGTTACAACTTGAGTGTCCGTCAATAGGAGAATGGACAGAGACAGCGTGGTGTGTCATGCCGTGGGGACTGACACAGATACACGGGGACTGCAGGGCTGGATCACCAGGAGGGCCGTTGAGTGTCACATGTGGTAGAGTCCCGTTTCTGTAAATAGCAAGCCCTAGTTCCAAAGGCACACACACGGATGTGCACGTGATAAGAGTGGGACGGGGGCATGCTGTGTTGATGACAGGATTTAGCTGGGTGAGGAGGGGAGTGGCAGGGTCAGAGTATTTTAGCCTTTTTTTAAGGAAAATATGTATTACTAACATAATTTAAGGCTACTTTAAAATCCAGTTATATAAAAAGTTGTCTATTCAAAAGAAAAAGCATGTTCTCTAAGGAATATAAGGGTGTTCTCTCCTCAAATGAGGCATACACAGAAAAGGAAGTGACGAGACCAGTGGAGCTGTTCTTCCTCCCCCAGGTGGAGGTACAGGGTCTCATTGGGACCCTCCCAGGCCACTGTCCTCATCAGCCCTGCTTGCTCCACGGGAAGACTGAGCACTGAGTTGCCCTGGGGAGCTAGGGGCAGTGGTTTGTCCACCTAGTGACCATGGTGGCCTCCTTTATTTAAATACCTGAGGGTGCATCCTGCTCCTCCCAGGCATGTGCTGTACTCAGGGGAAGGCCCTGCCTCCTGTACTAGCAGGGCATTGTGCCCCCTTGGTCACCCACTCAGCACCACGCGGTGAGTGGGCAGGATGGCGGGGGCCCATCTCTCCTCACTGAGCCTGTGGTCTACAAGAGGGGATGGTGCTCGGCAGGGACGATGTGCAGAGGCTGCCAGTCACCTGCAGGGGACAGCCAGCCTGGCCCAGGAACCTGGGCAGCTGAGTCTCTGGGAGACAACAGACTTTGAAAATGGCCAGACTGGACACAGTGCTCTCTTGACAGGTCGTTAATGGGCTGAAGCAGAGGATTCTGAAGCTGGAGCAGCAGTGCAAGGAGAAGGACACCACCATCAGGTACGGCCACGCCCGCTCCCTGCCCCACTGGCCTCCTGCCAGATCCATTCCCGTCCCCATTCCCACCCACAAAATGGAGGTCAATAGAGCTGCCTTTTTTTTTTTTTGGTATTAATTGCACTCCCTCCAAATTTCATTAAGGAGCAGTATTTCCCTTTCACTTCTTGTTATAGTTAAGAGTGCTTTCTCTCCTTAGTGTTCTGTGGACCACTTTTTATTTCCAGGATGAATTTTTTATGCCTCTCAGTCACGTGCTGTCCTTGTGCTGGTTTTGGTATGGCTCCTAACATTTTCTGTCTCTTTAGTGGGAGGGGAAAGTCTTTCTCCACTGCGCTTAGGTTTATCTAAGAAAAACTGAGACAACTCGTCTCTTGCCTCAAGTCTCCTATTCACACTGTAATAGTTTTCCCCCTCGTTTGTTTTTTGCTGAATTTTGTCAACTTAAAATACATGTGATTATTTGCTGATTTCTTCTGCGTTTCAGTGCTGAACTGTGACTTTACTTTCACTTCTGTGTTGATGCCTTTTATCTGAAGTGTGCCATGTGTTGAGAGCAGATGATAGCGCTGACAGCTCAAGGGGAAAAATGATTCTCTTTTCTTCACAAAGCTAGTTACTCTCCCCACCTGCCCCAAAGGTGGTCTGTCCTCTCAGTTCTGAGGTTTTTCTTCACCATTAATCCGGTCTTTAAAGACAGCACCGTATTTAGAGAAGAATACCTCTAGGGAGTCTGTTTTCTCACCTCGGGAAGTGGCTGGTCTGACACAGAAGGGACACTTCTGTGTGAGGAATTCTCCCGTCAACCTTGAGACGACTCATCTGTTCAAGGCCACAAAGCAGTTGAGGAGCAGCTCAGGGTTTTTCCTGCCCATCCTGGTTCTCTTCCAAAACCAGTCCTTCTCTGAATGTTCTGGGAAACTCTGTTCTTCTTACTTTGTCCCCTGGGAATGCTGGCACTGCCACATTAACTCTAAACTTGGGTTTTCAGCAAACTCCAGACTGATATGAAGACCACCAACTTGGAAGAGATGAGGATCGCCATGGAGACATACTACGAGGAGGTGTGTTTTCCCTCAGCGGTGCAGTGGGCAAGGGCGGGATGGAGTGGGGTCGGGGGAGAATCTGCTCGTGGCCAGGGTGATGGGCTGAGGCCAGGCAGCAGTCTGGGGGCTGTACTCTTGGGAGCCTGTTCTCCTCTTTCAGCTTGACTTGAAAATAAATCACAGAAACTTAGTTTTTACTTCCTACCGCTAGACAGTAATCAGGAATCTGATTACAGATTTTTCAGAGGAAAGTCTTCATGCTCGTTCTATGTTTTTAATGCACTGTAATTTGATATTTACAGATTCATCGTCTCCAGACTCTCTTGGCAAGTTCTGACACTACAGGAAAGAAGTATGATGATCTGTTTGGGAGCCAGGTCTCATGTGTTGTCCGCATATTGTGGGAGCTACTCTAAGTGCAGTGTAGTCATCACAGGGAAATGGCACACGCTGCCCTAACTTTGCAGCAGTGCCAACACTACACCTGTCTTAGTAATGGTTAGAGTTGATACATTTCCGTTTGGTGTTTACAGGTGTTCCCTTATAACTACCACTTGTTGACAGCTGACATGTGTTCAGTGCTCCATGCATTAATTGTGTATTCTATATAGCATCTTCCAGGTTAGAATTAGAAAATTCTGTTTATCAAAGCATATCTACCTTATTAGGAAGACACTTAATCCAAGTACAAGTTTATTTCGTCACTTAAAGTTTTCCCAAGTAAGTTTATTAGGAGAAATGCCAGGGTTCTCCTTATTTTGTAGATTTCCTATATTCCTTTTCCAAATGATGTGATACTAACTAGGCTTTCAACAAATTCTGGAAGGGTGATCCCTTATAGATTGGGCCGTGTCACTGGCCTCTACAGTAAACTTCTAACATCTATGGAGTGTTTACACTGTGCCAGGCATGGTTTTCTCTGTCTCTCTCTCTTTTTTTTATCCCTAGTGGTTTAAAACAGTGGTTGGAAAACTTTATGTAAAGGGCCAGATAATAAATACAGTTGATCGTCATTATTCCCCATAGTGATAGTCTTTAAAGTTTCCGTGAACATCAAATTAGCAAACACTAAACCAGTGCTCCTAGGGGAATTACAGGGTTCACTTCCTTTGAGCCTCTAGTCACAACATTTTATCAACTGATCAATAATAACCTGTTTTATTTGTGTTTCTGTTTAAAGACACCTTATTTATCATAAACTGTGGATTCCTTAAGGTTGAACTCATGGCAGCTCTATAATTCCTGCCTAGACAAAGTTTGTCTAACACACGTATGTTTTCTGTAAGGCACATCACAGCCTTCTAGAGCTTAGAGGCGCTAGACAGGCTCAGCACTGTGGTTCCAGGCTGTATTAAATGGCAAAGTCACCAATAAAAAGCCAAAAATGTAAAAGATGTGGCACTAAGTAGACTGCAAAAAGGACACTTGTTCGCAGCCTGAGCATCTCCTCATTCAGCTTCAGCTGGGAACGTGCAGCGACTCTCATTTTCTCCTCCCTCTGTGCGTGTGTGTGAATGCCTATGAAAGCCCCATGACTATTGATTTTGGGGTTATAGATCAATTTTAGCTAGTAAACAAATTTGGAAATATGGACTCTACAAATAAAGAGGGTCGACCATATTTTAGACTTCGTGGGATAAGAATCAAAATCAAAGCCATTATACAGCTACTTAGTGTAACGAGAGAAAATAGGTTTCCACAGAATTTTTAGTGATGACATATAAAATATAATGCTAATAATTGAATACAATATTGTGTTATACAGGTTTACTGACAATAAGAATGGAATTCTATCTTAGGGGTTAACATTTTGCTTATATGAAGTTCAAGATTATTGTTACTTATTTGATTGCAAATATTCACTTTCAAAAACCACGCTGACCTCACAGACCAGGCAGAAACAAACTTTGATTTGCCTACCCCCCACTGAAAACATTTATTAAACCAGTTTAGAAATTCAAACCTTAGACCCTTGCTTCGGCTGTTCCTAGGCCTGCAGGGGAGAAGAAGGTGGGCATTAAGAGGCAGAAGAAGATGAGCAGCGCTATCCTGAACTTGTCTCGGAGTGTCCAGGAGCTGACAGAGGAGAACCAGACCCTGAAGGAAGACCTGGACCGTGTGCTGAGCAACTCTCCCACCGTCTCCAAGATAAAGGGTATCTTCCCCAACACCACTCGAGGAGGGAGACGTGAGGAGAGAGGTCACGTCTCTTGTTCTATGACAGAAGACACAGAGTGGCTGCCACAAGGAGTCCTGACACAGGGCAGACCCTGGCCTGACACGTGCTTTGTGAGCAGCCCTTCCTTCCTTTAGCCATAAGGACTCTACTGCGTGCCACGCAGTGTCCAGGCCCCAGTGTTAGAGTCGTGAAGGAAGCATGCAGACATCCCTCGTTGGAGATGCTGTAGTGGGGGAGGAGTTACTGAGTGGAATCCATGTCAGGTGGTAATGGGTGCTGTGGAGAAAGGTGGAGGAGGGGAGGGAGACAGCAGGTTTGAGGGCTGGGGGCAATGGTGTGCAGCTGCACACAGACAGGGTCACAAGGAAGGCCTGACCAAGACAGTAACTGCTGAGCATGGCCTGGAAGAGGAGAGGGGCAGCCATGCAGGCAGCTGAGGGCAGTGCCCAGGCAGGGAGCAGTGACCACAGAGGCCCTGGGTGCCGGGAGAGCAGTTGGTGATGGAGTGTAGTGGAGTGTAGTGGCCTGAAGGCCTGTTGAGGCAGGTGCCACGGGAGGGTCATGGAGAGGACTGAGGAGCCTGCTCTGCTTCCCAAGGCCCCCGCCTTCAGTGCTGGGAGTGGACCGTGTGCAAAAGGGGGATGTTGGCAGGCAGAGACCTCTGCCCTTGCCCTAGTGAGGGGTCTGCTGGCCTAGGCCAGGATGGTAGCAGAAGTGGTGAGAGGGGTTGGGTTCTAGGTACACTTTGAAGGTGTGGCTGATGGGAAATTGGAATGTTGGGTATAGCCTATGAGAGAAGGAGGAGTCGGGCTCCAGGGGTGAGCAACTGAAATGACAGAGCTGCCATTTCCTGAGGCGGGGAAGGCAGAGGAGCAGGTGTGGGGAAAGAGGGCAGTGGTGTCCAAGTGGTGGGGCGCAGGCCTGGCAGTGGATGTGTCTGGGGTTCCGGGCAGAGGCCTGGGCTAGGCACTGAGCATGCAGCTCGCAGCGCATGGGTGAGACCAGTGGGGCCACCTGGCAAGTGTGTGTGAGGCGAGGGGCGGGGCAGGGTGGGGTGTGTGAAGGTGGAGGCCGGCATTGGGGTGGCCGGGAGAGCCGGGCACGTGGAAGCCTGGACACAAACGAAGGGAGGAAGGCAGGCAGCCATGCCAGTGGGAATGTGAGGACTGAGCGCTGAGCTTTGGATTTGGCGAAGTGAAGTCATTGGTGACATTGATAAGAACAACCTTAATGGACTGGTGCGGTCAAAGCCTCACTGGGGCAGAATTAGGAAAGAATGTCACGCTAAGACACTTGGAGACTGTTAGTACTGATAACTCTTTACAGCAAAGGGTGCAGAGAAGTCGCCATGTTGAGGGAACCCCTTGGAAGGCAAGAATCTGCCTAGGTGGGTCTTGTGGCTCGGCTCTAAAGCTGCTAAGGCCTGTGGACGGGAAGCCGTCAGGCCCTACCTGAGGTGGGTGGTTAGGGCTTAAGTGCCCGTTGGGAAAGTCCTTCCAAAACCTGTCGCTTCCAGCAGGTTACGTGGAGTGGAGCAAGCCCAGGCTGCTGAGGCGCATTTCGGAGCTGGAAAAGGTGGGTGGCATCTCAGCGGCACCCTGCTGTTCAGGGCATCGTGTCCTGTGCAGCAGGGGCGCAGACTTAGAGAGTGAGATGGGTCGCGCTGAACATGTAAACCATGGCTGTCCACCAGGCGGCACAACATGCAAACAGCAGAGTGGACTTCCCCAGGTCTAGACAAGGCCCGAAGGTGTATCTCTCAGCCCTCATCTTCCTGATGGCGAAGCCACATGCCCGCAGCACACATCTTTGGGCTTTCGTGTGGCCTCAATGGATACATGTGACCCTAAAGCCTTTAGCAGCCCAGCCTGGCACATACATATTATGGGCTTTCCACTGCCAGTCATTCACCAGCCTGTTTTCCTCACTGCTCGTCTAATATATGAATTTGCAGAAAACTGTTCATCACACTTTGCCAGCCAGAAAATTTGGGAAATTAACATTTCCTTATATCCCCTATGTGAATTTGCAAACTAGGAATCAATCTGATTCTTTTGGGATGGGCCAGAAGTGTTAACAGCTTTATATTTTAAATATGAAGTTAGAGCTGTCTCTATTGTTGGGCTAAGCAGAGTAAACATAGAGGAGAAAATGTTATTTAAAAATAATTTTACATATTTATCAAGTAGAAAACTTAAGTTTTTATAAATAGTTGGTATTTTAAAAATAAACCTTGTTAGGAAATGAAAGAACGCAGAGGTGGCTCAGAGTCCATTGGGGAAGCATGGCTCAGCCGAGAGCACTGGGGGTGGCAAGGGGACACTGGGGGCTCAGGTTCCTTTGGCTGGCAAAACTGGAATAGCATTTGAGATTGAAAACGTAAAGGTTGAAGGTGTCTGACCTTCCAGGGAAGTAGGGTGAGTGAGCACAAAGCAAGGTAGCTTCTGAATTCCCCTCATGCCCTCCTTTCTCCCATTTATCTTGGCTCCCCTGCCCTGGCGGGGGTCTGCACGCTCCCTCTTCTGATCCAAGAGAGCTGTGCTGGGCAGTTGCTGTCCCAGTAGATTTGCCTCAGCTGGCATCTGCCAGGCACCTTGGTCACCTGCCTAGGCTTTTCCTGTGCCCCTGTGGCAGACTCGGTTCCCTTTTGTTTATTGTCTCTTTCTGGGTTTCATAAATGGAAAGTAAAAATGAGCAATGACGTCTAACCAGTGCCTGTGTTGCCCCAGAAAATCAGTTCAATGGAGAGTTCAAAATCAGACGCCTCAGACCTGGCCAAATCCAATCCGCTGGCTCGTCCTGCATCGAGCTCCACAGTGCACAGACAGCCACAAGGGGACCGGGACCCCCAGGAGGACCAGGAGCATCTCCGAGGGGCCGTGAGAAACCTGAAGGGGGAGCGGAATGCCCTGCAGAGGCAGCTGCTGGAGAAAGAGTAGGTGCTCCTGGGGCCCAGCCCACACCCCCGTTCCCCATGTAGACCGTTGCTAGGGTTACACTGCTGCAAATTTGGGGAAATGCTCAGCTCATAATAGTTATTACATGAATATTTTTATACAGTTCTAAAACTTCTTACATTTCAGTTGTGAAATAAAGGCAGCTTTATTGATAAAAAGACACTAACTGACCATACTTCGTCCTAAGTATGGGCGGGAGCACCATTTAAATCTCTACACAGAATTCCAGAGAGATCTTCCAATTACTTTCATTGATTTGTGCAAAGTCAATTAGATCTTATGCAGAGTGGTTTTAAAATTCAGTAGTAAGTATATGACATATGATCTATATATCAAATAAGACATAAATGCTGTAAAACATTCAGTGCGACCCTAAGAGTTGGAAAGGCCAAGCCTTGCTTTGTGTTCTTTGGTTTCGTGATCTGTAGCCCTCTTAAAATTCGGCCTGGCTCCTGCCTCCCTGCTGTTTGCTGTGGCTTCTCTAGTTCTCTAGCTCTGTCATGAAGAAGCCAACCCTCACCCTCTTCTGAGATGATTGAGATGATGTTTCTGTCTCCGGTTTGCAAGAACTGCAGTGACTTGCTACTCAGAGTGTTCTGTGAAGCCAGTAGCATCAGTGTCACCTGGCAGCAGGTTGGAAATGCAGGATCTCAGGCCCCGGCCCAGGCCCTCTGACCCACACTCTGCACCTAGTGAGATCCTAGGTGGCCTGTGTGCATGCCAGGGCTGAGAGGATTCTGCCATGCTCTCAGCCTGCTAAGTCCTGCCACCTTCTATTTCCAGCAGAGGCAGACTCCTCCACACTGCACTGTGTCTCATCTCAATCAAAGTCTCACGGTGCTTGTGTGTAGCTTGATAGATTCTTCGTGAAAAGTAGTATTTCGTGATAAGGTTTTATAATTAAGCTAGTCATATTGAAAAGTAAATACTTCTGGAATTATCTGTTAAGCTGTCAAGTGACATGACAATAGCTACCCTTTACTGAGCCCTTACTATGTGATGGGCACTCTCCTAAACACTCAAGGAGTTTTATCTCGTTTAAGTGAAGATTAAGGAGGACCTTGAGAAGTTAGGTCACACAGACAGTGAACAATGGATCTGAGGTTCAGACAGAGGTCTCCTCTAAAGTGAGTTTGTGGCCACTGGGCCACGCATGGGACTTGAGAAAACCCATCAGGGGGTGTCCAGCTAGAGGTGGCTGGGTAGGATGCCCTGTCCTCAGGCTTGGTGCAGGCAGCACTACAGTCTAGGCCAGCACAAGTCCCTTCTGTGCTCAGACCCTGCACTCACCTCCAGCACACATGTGGCAGGTGTGAGCTATGTGCTGAGTTGTGTGACTGCTGCATTGGTGTCCCCTGCTCAGACTGTGGGGCCCGAGAGGGCAGGACCTCAGCTGGTTTTACTCCCATCAGTCCCTGGCACCTGATGGTCCCTCGCACACAGTAGGTGCTCAGTAAGTGGGGGTCAGGACCCTCAGGTCTGTTCTTGGCTCTGTGTGATTAGAAATAAGGGCTGTTCTTGATCCTTCTGCCCTGTCGTCCATGGTCCTAAGGAAGGGAGTGGAGCGACATTATTTTCCTGCAGCATCTTCCTGCTGTGTGACAACCTTTTGCTTTAGTGAACGCTGCAACGTTCCTGGTTCTGTGTACTCAGGCTGGAAGTGAAGCAGCTGCTGCAGACGAAGGCTGACTTGGAGAAGGAGCTAGAAAATGCAAGGGAAGACAAGAAGGAGAGAAGAGAACGAGAGGAGGCTTTGAGGTAAGTGACGAGTTCTGAAGAGAATTGCATGTTCCAGACTTTTCCTGCTGCCACATGCTGCCCCTCCCACCCCCCTGCTCTCAGCATCACTTCCAGAGTGGTTTTCATGAAGGTCACACTCCTCTTCCTAAAATCTTTCAGTGGTTTTCTGTGTCCTTCAGAGTGAAAACCCAACTCTGGAAAAAGGCTCTTCACAAGGCCTGTTCGGCACATGGCCAGCCCCTCGCCTGCCCTCCGCTCCACTTAGCCGCCCCCGCCATATCTGAACAGCTGCCATTCACACCTCTGTGCAGGGCTCTGGTCAGGAAGCCCAGGTTACCTCTTCAGGGGGCACCTCCCACGCTCCTCCGTAACGGCGCTGTTCACAAGAGCCAGGAGATGGAACCACCCCAGTGTCCCTCTGCTGACGAATAGATAAACGAGCAGGTCTGTCCATACAAAGGAATAACAAGGGAGCACTGACACACTGAGCAATGCAGATGAACCTCGAAAATATGCACAGTGAGAGAAGCCAGACACAAAAGGCCACGTAATATATAATTCCATTTATATGAAATGTCCAGAATAGGCACATCCATGGAGACAGAAAGCAGAGTGTTGTTGCCAGAGTTTCAAGAAGGGGGAATGGGGAGTGACTACTAACAGGTATAAGGTTGCCTTTTGGGGTGATAGAAATGTTCTGGAATTAGGCCAGGCTCAGTGGCTCATGCCCATAATCCTAGCACTTTGGGAGGCCAAGACAGGAGGATCACTTGAAGTCAGGAGTTCCAGACCAGCCCAAACAAGAGTGAGACCCCGTCTCTACAAAAAATTTTAAAAATTAGCCAGGCATGGTGGTACACACCTGTAGTCCCAGCTACTCGGGAGGCTGAGGCAGGAGGATTGCTTGAGCCCATTGCTTGAGCCCCAGGAGTTTGAGGTTGTAGTGAGCTAGGCTGATGGCACGGCACTCCAGCCCTGATGACAGAGATAGACTCTGTCTCAAAAAAAAAAAAAAAGAAAGAAAGAAATGTTCTAGAATTAGATAATACTAAAAACCACTGAATTATACACTAAAATAGTATATGTTATGAATTTTATCTTAATTTTTAAAAATGCATCAAAAACTAGATTAGAAATCCAAGCAGAAATATTTAGCACTCAGAATAATTAGTAAGACACAGATTGCTGAAATGAATAGAACATTTCATTTTCAGGAGAAATGTGACTAAATTTTGTCAGAAGGCTGGAATTAAAGTAAATCAGAAAGGGCAAGTATGCAGAGATGAGTTATTTTTACTTTGCTTTCAGTATCTGTAATAAGGACATAAATTATAATGCCTTCCATTCATATTATTTATTAAAAATCCAAGTGATACCTGCTTATTTGTCATTCATGCAGTAAATTTTTTTTTTTTTTTTGAGTTCTTACACCATTTAAGGAAAGGTGCTAGGCCCTGCGGGTCCTCAGCCCTGCCCTTGTGGGACATCCAGGCGGGCAGATGCAAGAGAAAGTGCCATTCTGCAGCAGGGTCTTTGGTGCAGTCGGGTCCCAGCTAAGGGCCCCCATCGCTCAGGGAGATGTGGCCTCACCGGCCCTGTGCAGGCCGTGCAGCGTCTAAACACAGTCTGCCCATCCTACCGTGCAATGGCCTTCATCACACAGGGACAAGTAAAGTGTCATCTTTTCCTTTTCCACCTTAGAGAGGAAATTCAAACACTTATCAACAAATTTCAAGAACTGCAAGAAATTAAGAAAGAAGAGAAAGATGATCCCGTGGAAGCTAGTCATCAGGTACAGTGTGGCTGTATTTTGTTTAGTCTCTGTTCAGACATGGCGGGGCTTTCCACTGTTACGTGGTAGTTCTGGTTGCTTTCATACCCACAGGTTTTTCTGACCATGACATTGACAACCCAATTTCCCTTTGTCATCACAATCGATTTCTATAACTTAAATCATAGGTAGAGAAGTCTGGAGTTCTGGATTAATTGTCAGTGAATTGACTTCCCAAACTAATATTTGAGTCTTAGATAGTTGAGCTGGTGAACGAAGATCTTGCCCAAACCTCAAATATGCAAGAGATTTAGTTGTGCCACAAGGGGTAGTCTACTGGGAAGGTGAGGAGGAGTTGGGAAGAGCCTGGAATGGAAGGAATTGATACTTAACGAAGCCCTGCTGCACTGACCAGACATGCATTTTTCTCCTCTAATGTGAGTTCCAGAATATTTCTCAAAAGACATGTGCTCCCTGGGTAGCGTTGAGTCTTCAGGTCCCTCCCTGCCCGTTACTGAGCTTCTCACCTGTTCAGTGTTGAGTGATTGTTTGGTGAGGACCTTGCAGACAGCTGAGAGGTAACTCTAGGCTGACACGCTTTCCGTGCCCCTCCACTCCCCGGTGTATGTGGATGCCACGAGGAGGGGCTGAGGCGCAGTCTGTGACTATGAGACTCCCCTACCCCTCCTGCCTCCCTGGAGGGGCAGAGGCCACCCTCTGGTTCCTGCTGGACCAGTGCTACCTGCACTTACACTTCCAGTGGCTAGCAGTGCCGCCTCACTAATCCTGTTTTCCTGTAAATGGATTCTTCAGATGACGGGTGTGATCTGATACCTGTTCAGACAAAAACCAAATAACTTTGGTGTTAAAATACTGCAGCTGCAGTTTGCAAATCATGCAGCTGCCTATCGTGCAAATGTGTGACAGTTAAGACCAGCTGGTCTAAGATACGTCCACACTGAGCACGCAAGCACACGTTAGAAGCAGGTAAGGAGTCTGTTACAGCAGCCTCTTTACAGTCCCTTTTCTGTGACCCTTTTTCTGGTTGTTAAAGATCTGACTAATACCTGGGATTCCACCAGGATGTCAGGTCTTTACCTTGACTACTCATTTTAGCCATGAGGTTCTGTTTCAGAAAACCACTCCCTGTTCCCATGGCAGGTGTCCGGTAGAGGTTCTTGGCCTCCGGGAGCGTGGGGCGTCACAGGGCTGTGGGAGGCGCCACATGCTGGTAGTCGGAAGGGAAGAGCAGGGCCTTGTTTTGCTGTAACTCTGGGCTGCCTCCCTCCTCCAGAGCTGGCTCCCTCAGCTGGATTCTTAATACGGCCTCTTACATATACATGAGACTATGTGTACTTTTAAAAGTTAGAGAATTTGGAAAAGCTGAATAGCACATTTTTAGTTACAAATGGAGACAAACCACAACACTGACAGCAAAAAAAAAAAAAAAAAAATGTGTTTTCACAATGCGTGCTAATTGGGCCCAACACAGGTTGTCCAGTGACCTTGGTTCTTGGCAGCTCTCCTGGCCAAGTGTGAGGGGTGGACAACGTGAGCCCATCTCGATCCCTTCAGAAAAGTATTTTTTACTCTCAGTAAAGTATATTTTTTGTCCTTTCCTGTGGGTGTGTTTTTGTAGTGATTTTTCTAGCACTTTGGGTAATGTTCTCAGTGACACAGAGTCACTGTCCAGCGTCCAGGGAATTAGCCACTCTCCATGTGACCATCACTCTTCACGAGACCTTGTGCTTACCTGAATATCTACGCTGTCTGCCCCGCTGGATATGACCCCAGGCGATGTCTTCCTGGGGACCTCATTCTCACCCAGTGGCACTTTGTGACAGAGAGCTGGGCTTGAGTTCTTCTCCAGGCTCCGCGTCACTATCAGGCATTATTAGAATCTCTCCCACATGGGGTGCTGGCAGGGGCCTTCGAGTTGCAGGGCTTACTGACATGACTCATCTGCTGGCACCCCGGACCCCTGAGAGTGCGCAACAATCAATAAATGTATGTGTTTCTGCCTACATTTTAAACTTGCCACTCAAAGTCATATATCCCCTAGGGAGAATATTTTCCACGTACATCAGAATTGGAAAGAATGACTTTGTTTATGGAGTTTATCTGGTTGTTGAAGACTCTTTCTCCTTGGCTACTCAGGTTTTCTTTAGATCCTGAAAACCAAAAAAAAACAGGTTTGTCCTGTTGTGTTATTGACATGTTGATTTGGAGACAGAAAAGATCTTCTTAGCACTGATTTCCCCCATGTTCTAATTGGACACAAATCCAATCAGGAAAGAAGATCCCTTGTCCCTTTTGGCTCTGGCGTGTTCACTGCCTCAGGTCTAGCTCGGATGCTGCCATGTCACCCCCTTCTTTGAGGGTCTTACTGAGGGGCTTGCTGCTTTCTCTGTGTCGGCTTCTGTAGTTTGGGATTTCAGTCCTCCACTAACACGGGGCAGAGAGGCTGTGTCAGCAGAAACTCCTGACAACAGGTACTTTCCTCCAGGAATGACGTCCCTACTCAAGTGCTCCATTTCTCTTGACAGAGGCTTTAGGAAATTTTGCTTGGTGTCAAAATTTTACTCAGTGTTTTTTATTTTGGCGTCTTTTTGTATGACTTGAGATTTTGTGTTCCTGTAAATGACAGAAACAAATGAGAATCCCAGTTTTCCCATTATTCTTTCAAAGAGAGGGGCCAGAGAACATGACCCATACTGTCTGCAGAGTCACTAGCACGTGGAAGTCCATGGCAGTCCTATTCGCAGTGGGGAGGGACCACAGCAAACTAAAGAGCATAGACATGACAGTCATCACGCAGAGGTGATGCGCCAGCCAGCGGAGTATTGTCTAGACAGCCATTGTGTTAGTACAGACAAAATAGATCTCTGTCTACTGACACAGAGAATGCCTGTGACCTATTGTTTAATGGAAATAATTCCCCCATCCAAAAAAAGGGTATATAGCATTGATTCCTTTTTATTAAAAAAAAAAATTATACTTAGAAAAATGTTTGAAAGGACTGTCGAATATAGCTTCTTTCTTTTCTGTGTGGTAGCATTATAAGCATTTTTTAAGCTTTCTTTCAATATTGTCTGAATTTTTCATAATAAGTATATATTAATATTAGCTTATTTTTCCTGCTTAAAAACATCTCTATTTTAAAGAAAAAGAAGAGTGGGCTTAATTGGTATTATCCACTATTCTAAATACGGGAATCAGTTCTCAGCATTCGTACGTGAATGGTTAACCATAGGTTTAAATGGAGTGATGAGAGTCAGTGTTTTAACAGTTGCCTCAAGGAGTTTATAAGTATATCAGAATTTAGCTGTCTGCCAAGAGTTGTTTAAATAAATGTTCCTTTATGTTCCAAGTAACTGATTTTACCTTTTTGATCACATAGGCATGGGCCACACCTTGACAGATTATCTCACTTTAATGGAACAAAAGTCTGAAAATGTGTTAGGATTGAGGGAAGGAGAAGAGGCTCTTCTTAGGATTATAAAATAGGACTGTTGAGGATAAGTATTGGGAATGTTGTCACTAAGTAACTTGGTGACACACCTAAAGAGAACTGACAAAGCCAGCTGTGTTAAAACGTACCCAGATTTGTCTTCATGAGGGATGTTCACACAGACATGAAAATGACTGTCATAGGACGTTTGTATTCACAGGTCCCTAGAAACACACGCAGGGCCACAGGGGAAGCACTGGGGGTGAGGGGAAGATGCAGGAAGGGGTGGGTGAGGATTGGCTGCCTGGAATCATTTCAGCAGGCTCTGGGCTGCAGGAGTGGTCCCTGGCTGTCCAGGACCTAGCCCTCGGTGATTGGGGCAGAGGAATTTTGCCTCCTGGCTTGTGAAAGCCAGATGGAGCAGGTGGTTCTGAGTGTGGGCACTAGATTCGTTGTTCACGTAGGAAAGTGGTGCTCTCAGGCAAGTCATTCACCCTCCAGGAATTGGCCAAGCCTGGGAGGGGCATTCTCTCCAGGAGCAGCAAGGCCCCAAGATGTCCCAGCATCATAAAATACAAAAAATAAAAAACTAAATACACCAACTAATCCATTCTGAGTGCATTTCGTTCAAGTCTCTTGACAGGCAGCTGTGCCAGGCATTTTGTCCCAGTGTGGACTTTAGCAGTTTTGTGTATCTCTCTCTCTGTTGAGGGCTTTCTGCAACAACGTGTGTCTCCACTGAGCTTGCATTTTTTATGTTAGAAAAATAGTCTAGTATTTTTATTTTTATTGAAAAGTGTCCTGTGGATAATAAATTTGGACCCCTAAGTGGTAGGTATTAATGTTATTTCGATGGTCACAGTAGCAATTCCTGCTTCTTTCTGCCTTGAAAACCAAACGAGAAATACATTGCCTTAAATCCCAGAAATCCCATTTTTGTAATACAGTATTCAACTTTAAAAAGATCAGAAAAGAACCCTAGAAAAACAGACAATTCTTGCATTAACAAAATGCGACCGACAGGGAATGTCACCCTCTCTCCCTCCCAGGAGATGGCTGCCAGATAGAGTCTAGGGAGTTAAGTGAAAAACACATCTAAATTTGTGACTCCAGTGCACGGCATTGGTGTAGCTCTTTATGTGAATGATCTTGTCTCGCCTGATAAGCTCTGCCAGCCGTCTCGCTGAGTAAACATCCCTCGCCCTTCCCTGATGTTCATCCCCCTGCCCGGCTTCATTTCCTTTTTTTCCTTCCATTTCCTGCAGACCCAAGAAGAACTCCGAGCTTCCGCTCCCAGCAGCAGACACTCTGAGCCAGACTGGGATGCAGACTCGAGTGAGGAGGGGCTCTTGCCTTCCCGCCCCTCCTGCACCAAAGGGAGAAGAGACACTGCGGCCAGGACCCTGCAGGCCCAGTGGAAGGTGTACAAGCACAAGGTGAGGCTGCCTGGGGAGACCGGGCCACACACAGGAGTCGCTTGTCCAGCTGCAAAAACATATTCGTTCAGCCCACGTTTACCTCTGACATGCCAGGCTCTGTGCTAGGTGCTGTTGACATGTAGGAAAATATAGGAAAGACAATATAAACAGCTAAAAATAATGCAGTGTGGACAGTGCTGGTGGAGGGAGAGGAGAGGAAGACCTGGAACTCCGGTGGTGGGACTCCCACTGGAGGGAGAGGGGCTGGAGATTCAGGGAAGGGCCACCTTTCAACTAGTCCTTGAAGGATGAGCACATGGAAGCAAGGCAATGGCTTGTTCTGGAACCTGACCTGTCACACAGCAGTGGGTGTCTCGGGAGGCTAGGTGTGGGTGGGTGTAACCCTGACCCACATTCTGGAAACTCTCCCCTGTCAGCCCTGGCATAGGATTGGAGAGCTTAGGGGTACTTAGGTTGCTTGCTGAGAACAATGTACGCCGACAATCGTCAGCCCCTTTTCCGGGGTTCCCTGGGAGGGGGCAGCTTGGAGGAGTGGTCCTTCTCAGCAGGAGTATGGAAAACCTGCTTCTTAGCAGACACCAACTGTGACTAACAGGCAGAAAGACCCCCATCCGAGCTAAGCACATATACCCCAGGCTCAGGGGCATGTGAGAGGCTGTACATCTTCACTGAGTTGCTTGGGGCATGGGAGTGAAGTGGGGTGATGGGAATGGGGCTCCTTCCCTAAGCTCCTGGAGTGGCTGTCTAGGAAAATGTGCCACCGAGGGTTTAGTCCTTAAAGGATGGCATTCTCTTTATATGCTCTAAATACTCTAATAAAAGATCTACCTAGTGTCATAAAAAACTTCACTGTCTTTTTTCCCCTAGTTGACCAAACAAAAGCTGTAGATTTCACTATTTGCCTGAATATGATAAGATCTTAGAGCAAGGTGCAATTGCTCACACCGGTAATCCTAGCGCTTTGGGAGGCCAAGATGGGGGAGGATCACTTGAGAGCAGTAGTTCAAGACCAGCCTGCGCAACATAGTGAGATCCTCTGTCTCTACAACAAACAAAGAAATTAGCCGGGCGTGGTAGTGCGCACCTGGAGTCCCAGCTACTCTGGAGGCTGAGGCAGGAGGATCACTTGAGTCCAGGAGTTTGAGGGTGCAGTGAGCTGTGATGATGCCACTGCACTCAGTCCAGGGTAACAGAACAAGACTCTG